AAAAAAATATTATATATCATATCAAAACTTAAGAGGCTACAAAAGAAGAAGGCTGTAAAACATTCTTATTGTTTCGCTCATTTTGTACTAGGATAGTGATGATTTAATGTATAAATACAATAGATGCCTGGTGCCTATATACATTTAAATGCAATAATAAATCATTGAATTTGGAAAACATTTTAGGGCTTTTGTTCTTATTGTTCTTAATGGCCAATACTGTTTGTCACTGGTACATCCTTAAAATAATGAGTGTGGTTTTTTGAATGCCCTGTCATAAAATACCTTCTAAGTTCTAAGAAAATAAAAAAAATCACCTTTCTAAACCTCCAACCAGTCTTGGTTTACAGTTTATAAATAGATCATTACTGGTTACTTTTGGAGCTCCTTCCATAAATATTAAGACAGCAATAAAGTGATAAATTAATACATGTCGTTGTATTTCAGTTTCATAGAACCTAAAATCTACAATTAGTCGGGCTCACGTAATTGTTTTTAATTTTAATGAGGAATAAATTTCAAAAATGTTCAAAATTGGTGCATTAGGTAATAAGTATTTTAACTTATCGAAAATCCAAAAATCTTGAATTATTGTGAACAATAATTAATTGCATTTATTTTTCAATATAATTTTATACATAAATACATTCCAAATTCACATAATACTTTTTGAGCATTACTTCTATATTAAATTCAATAGAATTGACAAAAACAAAAAAACATGTCATTGTTATAAGTTATAACAATTCACCAAACCATAATTGTCAATTATTTCCGTAGAGTTATCGCTACATTTGTAAACATTTAAACAGATATTTAAAATATAATTAAAATTAGGCGTATGACATAATGCTAGTCATTAGGTAACCTCGATTTCCCTGTTCCAAATTTATCGCTTAACAAAATACACACATAAATATGACATACATGATACATGTATACTAATAGGATCTAAGGTAGAACGTAGAACAGTTTTAGAACAACGAAATTAAATTAAGTTTTTGTAAATTTMAAATCGTAAATCGAACAATGTTTTTAACGAAGTTCACCCGTTGAGCAGTAGGTATCTCACTATTTTATTTTCATTTCATTATTTTTATTATTTTATTAATATTAAGCTGATTCTTCAGCTCTGACAAACATATTGCCTAATAAATAAATAAAAATCAACGTTGTAACTGTTTTMAAAGTAAAAATCGATTTATTTTATTTTTCTCATAAATCAGTTTCATAACGATATCATAAAACGTAATCATTAAAATAATTTTAAAAATATWATTTAATTAAAATATGGAAAATGGTAAGATAACACTTTAGTTTTAAAATATATTTCTAGGAATTCATAGCCAATTGGARATAAATATACATTAAAATAAATGTATTTGCAAATAGTAAATTATGTGAAATGTCTACTAATACTTCTTTATTAGCTATACATTTAAGGGGTCTGTACAAAAATATAAACGATTTTATTTTTCAAAACATTCCAGAAAATAAAATAATTAATTTGATTAATAAAGCTATCTCGTAATTGGACTAGAATTTAGAACTCATTAATTTTGTTCATTATAATATTCACTTGGAGCTATTTGGTTTTGCTGGACAATTAAAACCTGATAACTTAGATCTGTCTCATTCTTGCAAAGATAAACTGGAAATATTTTTTCCTTATCAAATATTAAGTCCRACGAGATTTTTGTGAAAATAAATTTGTTTTGTTTTTGCACAGACCCTTTCAACTATTATAATATAATAAATTATCCAAAACATTCAATATAGATTATATGCAATAAATAAGTAATATAACCATTAACCTGTTAACCAATCCTATTAACATATTTTACATTTAATCAGTGATCAACGTTAGTTGTTTTTTTTAGATTATATTTTTGGGATACTAAAATTCGTTTGATGTATCATATGGTAGCACAATTATACGATCGTACTGATTCTATGGATACTTTTTATACCGACAATTTCAGGAATTTTCAGTATTTTATTACCATTAAAATTATATCACGTATTATAGGTCAGGGTGGTCCAACCCACGACTCTCAGTATTTTTTTTGCCCCTTAGAAAATATAGGTACTATGTAGTAAATATATATAATAATTTAAAAAACAAAAATTAGGTGACAGGTGGAGGGAGACGGTAGTGGTCGGTCAAATCCCGGTTAATAGTAATAACAATCACAAGAACTGTGATAACTTGTCTATGTAATAACATAATGTTTGTTATAAAATATAATATGAATAAAACTATTTATTTTTTTCCTTTTCGTGGCCCCTCTGTTTACATAATTATGTAAATTGATCCTCAAACTACAAAAGACTATCCTGTAATATAGGTAATCATTAATCAACTAGTAATATTTAACATCAAAACAGTAGATACATGATATTTAAAAAAAAATGATTTCGTACAATACCTACTGTTTTAAAGTCTACAGACAACTGACCTAAAATTAGATTTTATGAAATAGAAAGTGTAAACTAGTGTAAACACTTCCACCAAACATTAAATAAATTCAAGGACGTCGAGAGAGCGCCTCTCGCAAATTATGCAACTCAATAAACTCGATCAGACAACTTATGGTGTGCACGCACATGCACACGTTGTATTATGAAATGTTGATTAATCTCAATGTTAACTATACTGGTTACAACTGATATTTAAAATGACAATATTAACAGAATTTGAAATGGACATTTTCTCTAAAATATTGTACATATAAAAGTTAAGTAAGTAATTATTTTAGTAGTTAGTTGTTTTGGAAAATATTTAAATTTTGAGCTTAATATTTCATTATGATACAAGCCAAGTCAAAAAWACGTTCTTGAAAAATTAAACTATAAAGCAATAAATATTTATATTTACCCTGTCTTCAAATATATCTTCTAATCGTTCATCGACGTTTTTTCCTTTTTTGGACCGAATCAGCAAATAAATATGTTTAATGTGAGGACACGTTCTGAGTAGTTTTTCCACTAAGACCTTGCCCATAAAACCTGTACCACCGGTTATAAATACCACTCCATCCCGGAAAAACTCTTGTATTGGACTTCCGATTTCAGACTCGTCAACTTCTCGAGGTTCATTAAAGCTTCGCTCACCCAAAAGCTCCAGAGGATCCAAATAGTATTTCGAATTTATTATGTCTTTGATAGGCACCAACGGTGCACTGTCTTGCTTTTTCTCGATGTACTTACGATGTAAATCGAGAGCCATATTGTGGAATTGTAAATTAAATAAACTGTAAAAAAAATATATTATGAATAGTATTGAATTACCAAAAGTCGAACATAACTTTAAGTAATAKGTACGTTTCTAAAAATATAAGTTTTTATTATTATTTCATTGACATAACGCCTACATTTAACCATTGCAATTTATACTAGCTAGATCGTAACTACTATGTAAGTATTAAAAATATACAGTCGAGTCCCAAGGGGATGATAAATAAATCTAATTCCTGTGTTTTTACACGAATTATAAATCTTTGATTCAACTTTTAAAAAAAACGATTCAAGGGGCTAGATGAAAATGTGAGTTTTTGTAGTTTTCGAGTTACTAAGATTCGATTGCGTAAATTGAATATATTATACATCATACGTGTTAACTATATTTAGGCTAGTAGCTTAGACAATGCATGTCAATATGTCATATTATGAATAATAATAATACCTACATCCTTATCTAGATTATTATAATAATGATTATTGATTAATGAATATAAAAATATATTATAAAATATTGGAAATACATGTTTATGTATAAATATAAGAGTTTAGTTTGGGAAAGTTATAGGTGAGGGACGAGGGTACTGTTACAGTAATCAAAGTAATATTATAAAACGTTATACTTACGACAAATAACCTACCGATGTAACAAAATATAATAGAGTATATTGTTAATATTTGCTTATGTATAAAAATATATTGGTTTAATTTGGAAAAGTTATAGGTGAGGGTAATGTTACAGTGAGCTAAGTAATATTATAAAACATTACACGAACGAAATACAATATACATTGATAATAATGCCTATTTCGTATGCATTGGGCTTAGCTTACACATGATAGCTAATATGATTGGAATTTTTGATCCTAACTCACTGCGTTTTCTCACATGGTTACCTTGACCTGAAGACGCTTAAAATGTCCATTCAACAATTATTGTACGTAGGTCGGTTATATTACATTATATGACAAAGTCAATATCAAGTCCCAAATGTAACTCGTTTTTATTGGATACCTAACCCAACCTATATAATATATTAAATATTGCACATAGTGAAATTAATATTTACAATAGRCCAACATATTTGATTAGAKATACAGAGTACGTCCCGTTTTAAACTATTTTTACTTACCTAGATACCTAATAATCACATTTTAGTTTTATTACTAAAATATTTAAGCATACGTTTATCAAAACAATAATTTTTAAAGCATACATCATTAAAAATTGTATAATATTACGTATATAATAATATTCAAATATTTATGGATATTTKTAATTCGTATAAAAAGAGACGAACCATTTGGGCATGGTGGCGAAACATCTTACAAGTTCAATTGTTACTTTCAATAATTTTGATATTCAATATTTTAATATGTCAGTATGGAATCATCTTAACGTAGCTTGGTATGATTTAATTTCACAGAATATTTAAATWTATTTTATTTTATTCACATTTAGCCATTTAAGTAAATTTAATAACATTGAATATCATAAAATATTGTATTATAATATGTATGTCACTGTGTTCAAAATAAAACAGAAAGTATTATTTTATCGATATCGAATAAAAACGAAATGAGAATAAAATTTTTATAACAGTATTTACAACCCATAAAATTTTGACCAATTTAAAATTAAAAGATTCGCAATAATACAGTAGAAATGACTCGTAAATCTTATTTGAAACAAGTTACCATGATATGTATACCTAATTTTAACATAAAAAACAAAACCTGAAAAGAATGCCAAATATAATAGTAATGATTACTGTAAATCTCGGTTATTCAAAATTTTAAATAAATTTGCAATGTGAAATAAGTAAATAAAATAGCCACTGCCCAATTATATTA